CACCCTCGGGATTTTTTGTTTGTTGTTCCGCCTTGGTTCTTCGTTCGCAAATTTTGTGAGAGTGGAATTACGCCCGGAGATTTTTTGGTCTTCTTTTTGTTCGTTGTTTACACGTGAAATATCAATCGGATGCGTTTCAAATAAATCGGGCGTGACTAGATACTACAGAGTCAATACGTTTGGCATATTAAAACAATATAATTCGTTGTTCTGGTGCAAGGCGTAACAACCATATTCATCATAGATTTGAAAGTTGGAAATACGCCATGTAAGAAGAAACGTTTTTGGTGATTTGAAGTGATATTTTCTTCTACTTTTTCGTGTTTATCGAGAAGTTTGTGAACTATTCTCTCTATATGTGGCAAAATATGGTTTGTTTACATTTTGGCTCTTACGCCCCTTTCAAATGTTAGTCTAGATTTCCAATCACGTTCCGATCGTTGCATGTGAATTGGCACCAATCACCAACGTAGATTTCCTCGTAGGTCCCAGGAGATGTATGTTTATAGGGTCTATTCTGAAGTCATAACAGCGGTACCGATACAATTTATCAGAGCTGACATTATCCTTAACGTAGCAAAAGGGCCTGTGAAATTTTTGTTTCACGGGCCAATAACGAAAGGGTCTAACGGTACGCTGGGGGAAATTTAAGTACATTTCTCGTTGTACATTAATGGAGTTAATGTACTTAATTTATGTGACTTGTAATTAAAACTGAAATTTGTACTTAAAAGTAATTAAATGAAAACATTTCCGACGCTCGTAATTAAAGTAATTAATCATGTAGTTAACTGTAATTATTGTACTTAAAAAAGGCTTGCGTAGGAGTTAAAGGTTATTGCGTGCCCCTCGGAATCTACGCAAAACTGCACCAGTGCATGCGACACCTAGGTTTGAAATCCAAAACCACAAAAGTGATGATGTACTAAAAAATATTCCATACGATTTGACAGCTAGCAAAACGTCATTATCATTTTCACATCATTTCCATCTACTGGCCGACCGTAACGTAGATTTATCAATTGAGAAATCCAACTTAAACTCCTGCGCGCCTGGTGGCAGGAATAAGCACTAACCGACGGTGATAAGTCTGTGACAGCCCTTGACAATTTCATTGATTGTTTGCAAAATTGTTTAATTTCAATGTAATTTCATGCAAATTTCTTGTCAGCATGGATGAACCTTATACAAAATGCATAAAATTATTTTGTTATGCATTGTTCCTAAATAAAAAGCTACTTCAAGACAGTTAAATCACCGACAAACCGACATGACACTTAATTCTGACTTATGCCCGAAAATCGTAAACGGCCGATTTAAATGTGCAGTGATCCGATCTGTCAAAACCATAGGATTTTTTGATCTAGATAAAAATAATGTGTACAGAATAGATCAGACACGAACCAATTCATAAATTTTACATGCGGGTTCATGGCTTAGCTGAATATTTCCCGCAAACACGGAGCCAGATGTCAGTAGTGTGCTTTGGTTAGAAATTTTATTGTTTTTGCTATGGGCATTCATGTCGGTTTGTCGGTGGTTAAATTACAGAAAACATGTTAAGGTTTGAAATCATCTGCCGATTAAACAGCAGACAAAGTTGGCCGACTTAATCCATCGACGAAAAACTATTAAATAGGCCGATTTCTCGGTGTAGCACCAGACGAAAAACGATTTAATCTGCTGATTAATACACCGACTGAAATTAATTTTTAAGTGGCAATAGATTTAGTCGGTGGACGAATCGGGTGATCTGGATGATGTTTGTTTATTTGGAAGATATTTTCAAAACAAAGCACGATAAAATTCAGAATTATATACCATTATTACGAGTACTACTTTTTTGTTCGGATCATGTTTTGACTCCCACAGAAACTCGCTAGAATAAATACAAAATAATAGTTTTTTGGTTGAAATTTCAAAAATGTATTCAGTTTGACACATTATTTCGGACTTATCACCGCTGCGATTGCAGCGCCACGGTGGCCGATTGAAACTTGGATTTGTCAATAGAGAATGCTAAAGTGTGATTGATGTTTTTACGTTACGGTCGACCAGCAGATGGAAATGATGAGAAAATGATAATGACGTTTTGCTACCTGTCAAATCGTATGGAATATTTTTTAGTACATCATCACTTTTGTGGTTTTGGATTTCAAACCTAGCTGTCGCATGCACTGGTGCAGTTTCGCGTAAATTCATCAATTGTGTCAGTGATTTGTTTTCATCAGGAAAATTATCCGCTATGAAGTTTTTTTTTCTGATGAAAACATTTTGCGTATACTCATACGTGACGTAGTATGCGTACGATAAACGTCATCAATCTCTACTTTGGCACAGAGAACAGACATGGAGGCTCGAACAAAATTTCTCTAAAAACACAGAGAACAGACATGGAGGCTCGAACAAAATTTCACTAGAAACTTGTGTAAAGATTCCTATTCGACTTAAGCGCCACTAACGGCGACTTCCCCACTTAAAAATCCTCTTTGACAACATGATGGCGCTGGCGTTACACAAATTACACTAGACACTAAGTGCTAGTAGCGCCAAGTGGCAATTTTCAACAGAAAATTTATCGATACTAGCGCCAAATTGGTCGAAAGTGGAAAATTTATAGAGAAAATCAGGAGATGCTAACACCACGTAACGGCGACGTTCCCACTTATTTTACACAAGTTTCTAACCGAGCTTGAACGTCTGTTCTCTGTGCATGAAGTGAAATAAACAGGTTTAATATGTCAAACACATTCTTTGCAGCCTCTTCTTGTATCCTACCAATTCAAAATATGATCATGGCATCTAATTATTTCATAATAAAAAAAAAACATTGTTTTAGCAGAAATGAGTATTTGCAACCTTGAACTAAATTTCTATAAAAACTTGTGTAAAGATTCCTATTCGACGTAAGAGCTGCCAGCACCGACTTCCCCACTTAAAACCCGTCTTTGACAACATGATGGCGCTGGCGTTGCATAACTTACACTAGACGCTAATTGCCGGTAGCGCTGAGTGGTAATGTTCAACCGAAAATTTGTCGATACTAGCGCCAAATTGGTCGAAAGTGGAAATTTATAGAGGAAATCAGGAGATGCTAGCGCTTCGTAACGCAGACGTTCCCACTTATCTTTACAAAGCAAATCTTTGCAACATCAATGAATCGAGGAACAGTTTGCTTTATGTTTCCTTCTTCCGTTGTCCGCGAAATAAATCGGAATGTGGAGTGTGGAAAGCCTTTTGTGCTCATAATATTACAATACTTCTCTCACAGAGAACAGACATGGAGGAACAGAGAACAGACATGGAGGCTCGAACAAAATTTCTCCAAAAACTTGTTTAAAGATTCCTGTTCGACTTAAGCGTCACTAACGGCGACTTCCCCACTTAAAAACCCTCTTTGACAACATGATGGCGCTGGCGTTGCACAAATTACACTAGACACTAAGTGCTAGTAGCGCAAGTGGCAATTTTCAACAGAAAATTTATCGATACTAGCGCCAAATTGGTCGAAAGAGGAAAATTTATAGAGAAAATCAGGAGATGCTAACGCCACGTAACGGCGACGTTCCCACTTATTTTACACAAGTTTCTGACCGAACTTGAACGTCTGTTCTCTGTGGTATTGATGAATTTACTTTACGGTCGACCAGCAGATGGAAATGATGTGAAAATGATAATGACGTTCTGCCACCTGTCAAATCGTATGGAATATTTTTTAGTGCATCAGCACTTTTGTGGTTTTAGATTTCAAACCTAGGTGTCGCATGCACTGGTGCAGTTTCGAGTAAATTAATCAATAACATGTTGCCTACGTGCCTGCCACTGAGCTGGATTGATGCGATTGATGAATTTAAGCAAAGGTAAAACCACAGAGAACAGACGTTCAAGTTCGGTCAAAAACTTGTGCAAAATAAGTGGGAACGTCGCCGTTACGTGGTGTTAGCATCTCCTGATTTTTTCTATAAATTTTCCACTTTTGACCAATTTGGCGCTAGTATCGATAAATTTTCTGTTGAAAATTGCCACTTGGCGCTACTAGCACTTAGTGTCTAGTGTAATTTGTGCAACGCCAGCGCCATCATGTTGTCAAAGAGGGTTTTTAAGTGGGGAAGTCGCCGTTAGTGGCGCTTAAGTCGAATAGGAATCTTTACACAAGTTTTTAGAGAAATTTTGTTCGAGCCTCCATGTCTGTTCTCTGTGATTTACGTGCAACATAATAATTGATTGCATCGCAATATTTTGCTCATTTCTTTGTGCCATTAATTCGAGCATTAATTAACCAACTAAGATCAATAATTAAGCAATAGAGTTAGAATATTGTTTTTGATTCCAAAAACTAGTTGAATTTGGGAAGCACACGAAACATTGAAGTGATTGAATTTCTGTTCGATTGCAATACTCTTAAATTTAATCTAATAACAATAAGAAATCCTCGGACAAAACCTAATGGGAATCCCAACTAACAATTTTAGCTGCAGATTAGCTTATACAGCCAAAAAATGGCTTATACAGCTAATATTTGCCTGTATAAGCTAGTCTGCAGCTAAAATTGTTTGTTGGGATGTTCGATTGGCTCAGATTTTGGCAGTTCATTTGGCTCAAAACATTCTCTCCGCCCATCAGTATTTCTAATGAAAGCACGAGGAAAATTTACTCATCGCTGCACTTTTGGTGTCAAATTCCTGAGGCGTTCAAAAACCTCTCAAATAAGATCTGCGAAGTTTTGGAACAACCCCTTACTATTCCAGAAAAAAATACACGATATCGATATCAATACATGGAGTCACAAGAACTATAACAATTTTATTAAGGACCCCTTACTATTCCAGAAAAATAATACCCGATATCGATATCAATAAATGGAGGTTTCACTGTATGCTGTAAAATAATATGGGCTGGATAAAGCAATGAAATTATATTGAAATTTTTATTCGAGCATTTATTGATATTCTTCTAACAGGCAGTTATCTTAAATTCAATATTCTAAATTGTTTCTCAACCTAATTTTAACATTAATTCAATATATTTTTAAGCAGAAGAATTGGAATGCAGTTTGTTCATCGCTTGTATCTCTAGCCGTAGTTTTCGCTTCGTCAAACGAAGCAGTTCGGTTTCCTCTCGAATTTTGTCCCTTCGTGCTCGAAGGACCTGGAGCTGTGCTCGCACAAGTCGATTGTTGGAACCGCATGCAAAACAGGATGGAGTTCTCCATCGGGTGCGCCGCTTTGGAGTGCTAGTTTTCGGTATAAGCGAACTTTCTTCCTCGCAAGGTGTTTCGTTCAGTATTTCTATTACAAATTCATGACTACCGTCAGATTTTTGGTCTTCGAATGAACAGTTGGACTGGACTTCTTGCTCAACCTCTTCGAAATCCTCCATCAATCGTTCTTCGAACATATCAGTTTCACCTCCTGTTGATTCCGGAGCAACTGAGGCTGGTGTTCGCTCAAGTGATTTGATTGCTATCGTTCCTCCGTGATCGCTTATGAATTTGATCAACTCGGAAGTGAGATAATCGGTTTTCTTCATATCAGAACTCGCTTCGGCAAAGTGACCATTTTTCCTCAAAGAAGCCATCAGATTGCAGAGGTCCTTGGTAGTCAGCTCCTTGCCATTCGTTAGTCGGACGTACTCTCGAATTAGTTTCTTGTTCACATTGTGAATTAAAAGCTCCATCACTTTCTGCTTTATATCCGAGGAAAGTTTCTTATTGTGAGCGAGATTTTTGCTCATCTCGGCGCTAATTTCATGATTGTGAATATTGGAAACTGACATCACCATCAACTGTTGGCCACACTTCGAGGCCCGCAAGGCAATGAATGCTGGGCAATCGTTTCGGATCGAGGGTCTCCTAGAAATAAATAATATACTTCTAGATAAGCCAAATAGGTAAGTACATAATAGTTTGAATGAAACTTACAACCTCTTCGATCCACCGGTCTTGGGTTCGAACTTCTGGCCACCAAAGATGCAGGAATAGCGAACGGAGTAGTAGCGAAGGGCTGCCGCTATGGGCCGAGACGTTTTGTAGGCAGCTCCTTCGATTGTCCGCGAATCTCGACACCAATAGTAAACTAAATCCTTGGCGCTGTGCGTTTCCAGTTTGGCGTGAAATTCTTCATAGCTGTCAAAGCATTCACCCTCAAGGAAGCGGTACTCACTTTGAATTTCAGTTTGCAGATCGATGATTCCAGTCATTTTGCGAATTTTAAATCTGCGCGCGAAGCAAAATTAAAACCCTCTGACCTGAATCGGGTATCGGCACGCCAAAACTGTTTGTGAAAATCACACTGAAGCACAAATTTTGCACTGCCGCCCCGTTGCTTGCAACAACAGCATCCATACATTTAGCATTGGGTATGAAATTTTAAAGCGCCGCCGGTCGCCCTCACCGCAGAATGAATATTTTGAAAACAAACTGCTTTCTGCAATAGTTGTTTCGGCTTTAATTTTTTAGTGAAAATTTAAAATTAATGGTATTACATTAAGATCTTATAAGACGGACATACCATGGAGGACGATCTGAACAAGCTTTCCGGAAAAATCATCGACAATTTGGACAAGATCAACCGCATCCTGAGTTACGGCCGGTTGGAATCCAAACTGCTTTCCAATCCGGACATACCCGATCGGCTGCTCAAACAATCTCAACAAGAATGGGCACCCCGTTCAGATATCCGCTCGGTTGATTCATCGAATCGACTTTCGGTGGACGACGTGGATTCCTTATTCAATAAAATCCGGCATCGTCCTTCCGGAGGATCGATCCGACTGAACCGCGCCCACTCGCAAAAGAAAGCCATCCCGCTGCAGCAATCGAGAATCCTGAACGAAACCAATTTGGCCAGCAGTCCGTCCGGGTCGATGACCGATTTGAGCGATGGCAGTAGGGTCGGGGGGAAATCTTACGACGTGGAAGCGCTAGTCAAATCGCTAAAGCAATCGGTTCAGGCGCTGGGCCTGATCGAGAATCGAACCATTAAGCCGGTTGACTTCGATCGGGTCGAACGATACAATCGACGGGAGTTTGTGAAAGTAAAGGATACTGTGCGGGATGTAGAGACAATGGTGCAGGATTTAGAGAAGTACGTAGCTAGTGTGCGAACAAGCGACCAGGAACGGACGGAACTTGTTAACGAGGAATTGGTCATGATGTTAAGAGATCTGTCGGAGGTAATGCCATATGATAGCATTTAACAAGGTTTGAATTTGTTACATTGAAATCTATTATTTCAGACCATGTCACAAGTGATATTCATCAAGAACAACGAATACATTCCGGACATGAGCAAGCCGCTTGCCTTCGGTTCATATCCCTTAGCCGATTGTTTGGACGATGTGAATGAGAATATTCGACAGAAGAAGCTCTATCAATGAGAACTAACACTAGGCACCTCCTAAGTATTCACATGACTATTCTATACTATGAACATTAATTTTAAAAAAAACTAGTTTTTTGGAAACCAAAAGCATTCAACACATTTAAGGAAAGAAAGTCATGTTTACTCGCGCTTTGATCTGATTAGACAATTTTAAAATGCCTGTAATACCGTAAACCGAAGCCAAACCGAATCGGACGTGAAGATTGTTTTAGTGTGTCCTACTATCAGAACCCAAACATTTCTACATAGACAGCTCCAGAGGCGAACCAGCCACATTAATAAAGAAAACTTGACTGAACTTCTAACTAGACATTTCGAAAGGTCCTACGTGCATTGATCGATTCTCTTCATCGACATTCTCTTTCGTTAAAAACTCAACTGCAAAACTTTTCCCTGTTGTATTTGATGTTTTGGATGCTAGAACCTCCTTTATCAAACTATGTGGTAAAATAGCGCGAAATCTGTTTGCATAGCAGTGGTTAGAGCGAAGAGATTCGATCAAAGCAGATAGGACCTTATGAAATCTCGGGTTTTCGCAATGACCGTAACCGGATGAACAGTGCCAAATCACGTGATGGTGGCGTCTTGATCGAGTCTTGATTGCGGCTTCCAAACGACTGAACTGCTGCCTCGATCCTGCTCCGGTCAGTTCTTCTCTTGAGCAGTTATGGGTGAAGATTACGACATCACACAATATTATAAGCGTTATGTACCTCCCTCCTGACCGTAATAGCATCGTCAAACCGACATGACACTTAATTCTGACTTATGCCCGAAAATCGTAAACGGCCGATTTAAATGTGCAGGTCGAACTGTCAAAACCATAGGATTGTTTGGTCTAGATAAACATAATTTTTGTCCAGAATAGATCAGACACGAACCAATTCATAACTTTTGCATGCGGGTTCATTGCTTAGCTAAATATTTCCCGCGAACCCGGAACCAGATGTCATTAGTGTGCTTTGGTCAGAAATTTTACTGTTTTAGCTATCGTCATTCATGTCGGTTTGTCGGTAGGCAATGACGCGATAGCACCGACAAACTGACATGACACTTAACTCTGGCTTGTGTCCAAAAATCGTAAACGGTCGATTTAAATGTACAATGATCCGAACTGTCAAAACCATACGATTTTTTTTTATCTAGATCAAAATAATTTGTCCAGAATAGATCAGACATGAACCAATTCATAACTTATGCATGCGGGCTCATGGCTATATATTTCCCGCGAACACGGAGCCAGATGTCAGTAGTGTGCTTTGGTCAGAAAATTTGTTGTTTTTTCTATGGTCACAGACAAACAGACATAACACTCACAAGTTGTTCATCGAACAAGCATTTAACGGACAATTTAAAAGTATCGTAGTTGGTAGTACCGCCACCTGTGGCGCGCATAGTCAATTCCCTTGCGTTTGACGTTTACACACTACCGCCATCTGTTCAGCGTACTACCCACCACAGTGTACTCAACAGATGGCGGTAATGTTTTTGCGACGATGTTTTACAGTGAGAAATATTCAATGTGTTATGTCTGTTTGTCTGTGCTATGGTCATTCATGTCGGTTTGTCGGTGGCGATATATAGTATCTGTCGCACAGCGTCGTACACTGAAAAAAGTTTTCACTTACACTCAAAAAATTCCACACGCCATCATCATGTGTCTCACACTTAATTTTGCGCTTATTGGGGAACACATCCATTTCATGTGTGAATCTTATGCTATGAACCATGCCTGAACACTATGGATTTGAATTGTGACACACTTGGATTCTATGTGCCTCATATGGTGATATCAATAGCTTTGTATACCATAGTTCAATATTATACTTTATCGACTTCTACTTTACCGACTCTAAAAATGAATCGACAAATATATAAACAAAACTGCCAGAGGCCAGAGCTTTCACATATATTTTTGATGGGTCTGATTTTCGATTCGATCATGAACTGTTGGGGTGTGCTACTGCCAGAGTCTTCGTTCGATCTCACTGTGCCACGGTTGTTCTTATATATGAGGCGGGTTGATAGGAAAAAGTCACAACTCTTGTTTTCGATGTTTACCGTTCTGAGCAAGCAATTCACATCGTATTGAAATGCAAAACACTTTAAATCCATCTGTTTTGAACAGAAGCGTGATTCAATGTGCAATACACTTGAATAGATAGTGAAAAAATTTCAACATTTCAAAGTTTGAAACACTATAAATTAACGTGTATAACACATTGAACCAAGGTGAAATACACTTATGGTGGTAAGCTCCAACCGGTATTATCCTCGGATTAAATCCCGATCAAGAATGTCCGACTGGTTTGATGTCGACATCAGAGTTAATCAACATAACTCTGAGCAAACATTTTTCAGATCATACAAACAGGGACGGTATTAAAAGTTAATCCGAGTTGGAGCTTACCGCCATTAAAGTAAATGTGATTCTGCATTTAAAAAATCAAGTGTTTAAACACTTCGATCAAACGTGTGAATTTTTTTGAGTGTAGTTTCTCAGGGCTATTCTGCGCGGCGTGTGAGGTGAAGTGACAGTGAAGTGATGGTGAAGTGACAATTGTCACCTCGGGTAAGGTGACTCTCCATTTGATTTGCACGGAGAGTCACCTCACCCGAGGTGACAATTGTCACTTCACAAGTGAGAGCGAGTCACCTCACCTCACACGCCGCGCAGAATAGGCCTGTCTATTAGGAACGCACATAGTATTTTTCCAAAAACAAAAACAATGATTTTTACCTGAATATCACATAGCATTAGAAATTCTATATGAGAAATCATATAGATTTCATTGGACACATAACGTTCATGTGATTTAGTGGTGCAATTGCCAATTATGGAATCACATGAAAGTTATGTGAAATTCACATGGATATTTTCCACTGGTTATGTGATTTATTTTATGAGTGTATGAGAAAATGGAAGAGTTGCCAGTTTTCTTGATATGTTGTCTTCAATTAAAGTGTATTCAATTCACTATGAAATACACTGAAAAAAGTTTTCATATAGTTTCCATTGGAAACGCACATGGTATTTTTCCAATAACAAAATTAATGATTTTTATCTGAATTTCACATATCGTTCATAAGATTACATGAATTGTATGTGATAAATCACATAAACTTCATTGGACACATAAGGTTCATGTGATTTTGTGGTGCGATTCCCAATTATGAGAACACATGAAAGTTGTGTGAAATTCTAATGGATATTTTCCATTGGAAATGTGATTTATTTTTTGAGTGTATATTGTTCGTGTACAAAGCATTTTCGAGGTATTTTTATTGGGGTATTTTAGTTTCAACGTGTACACATACACGTAGGACTACGTCTTTCGGGAAGATGGGGGTACACTTTATGAAAACCGAAAAATGAAAGATTTTGAACGTTAATAACTTAGCTGCCCCTGGACCAATTTCAATAATTTTATCACCAATCGATCAGAAACTTTTCTACGCATCGATAACAATGCTGTTGACTGTTGATTTTTTTTAATTGAAACTATTGAAAAAGTGGTAAATGTCAAGCATTGTCCAGAAGCTTCGAAATAACTAATAAATCCACCAATTACGTACATGCATGTGCTGCTTCCCCAACACAGTCATCAGATAATGGTTCCTAGATGAAAGAAGTTGAAAGACATTCGCCTCCGATCTTCGGGCGTGTACGAATAGGGAGGATGCAATTGCGGAACATTTTGTTGCCAATTCAGAACTACACGCCCCCAACGACCACACAAAATGCTCTCCGTTTTTTTTCCTTGGATTTGTTTTCCGTGCTGTGCACCAATGCTACCCACACCTGGACCCTACCTATCGACCCATCAACTCATCAACCGGGAACCAACGGCTTTACTTCCCTTCCAAAGGAAGTCGTGATCAGAGATGTTATGCCTCAGAACTTCCTCTTTTCTGAAATGAACTTGGTGGGCTTGAAAAGAGTCGTTTTGTTACGTTGGTGATAAGTTTTATCCTCCGAACCCGTACAGAATGCGTCCCTGTCGCTTCAGAGCGTAGACGACATCCATGGCCGTGACGGTTTTGCGCTTGGCGTGTTCAGTGTTGGTGACGGCATCACGGATCATATTTTCTAGGAACACCTTCAGCACGCCTTCCAGCAAGCTTTGTCGATTTTGAGAAATTGCCGTAAAAGCTCTACGCAGATGTTGCCACTGCATGATAATTGTAATGTTGACAGGCTACATAGCAAATTCATGAAAAGTGGAACGGAATGGAAGCGGAACGGCAACGGCAGCGGAAAATCCCGATCTGAGTAAGCCTACTTGTCGGATTGAAAACTAGTTAGATCCAAATCGACTTCGGTTAGGCATCTTGATGTCATTAGTGACAGCTGTCAAACTTTTCGTTTCCGTTCCGCTGCCGCCCACATTGCGTTTGGGCCTTTAATTCATAATTTTCATCAAACCTACAAAACATACTTTCAATACATCCTTCGAATGGTGTTAGGAAAACTTCATTCCAATCAGACTTCCTTGTATCTTTGAGTATTCCAGTTGGATTTAAAAAATAAAATATTTTTTAATGAATGCTCATTTTCATGAATTTACTATGTAGCCTGTCAACATTATCATCATCATGCAGTGGCGACAACTGCGTAGAGCTTTTACGGCAATTTCCCAATATCGACAAAACTGCATCACCATCACTGTATATATAGACAATGGGAAGCGAGGAAATATGGTACCGGCAGAGCTGGTTGTCTATATAAGAGGTTTCTAACTATACGCTTAAGGCTTAGTTTCGATTCACCCGTTCAACGACAAACATCATGCATCAATGACTGGTCGTGGCAAGCGAGGCAAAAGTCTTGGAAAAGGAGGCGCCAAGCGTCATCGGAAGTTCTGCGTGATAACGTCCAGCGCCTGCCATCCGTCGTCTGGCTCGACGTGGTGGTGTCAAGCGTGTCTCCGGTCTGATCTACGAGGAAACCCGAGGTGTGCTGAAGGCGTTTCTAGAAAATATGATCCGTGATGCCATCACCTACACTGAACACGCCTAGCGCAAAACCGTCACGGCCATGGATGTCGTCTTCGCTCTGAAGCGACAGGGACGCACGCCCTCTGTACGGTTTCGAAGGTTAAAACTTATTACCAACGTAACAAAACGGCCCTTTTCAGGGCCACCAAGTTTAATTCAGAAAAGAGTTAGAATAGAATTCATATAGAGTAACTCATGATTCACCCATTCAATTTGTCACTTGATGATACAAAAATCAAATAATTTGTTAGGGAAATAAATTATGTTCTATTTGTAGTCTTATCGGTGGGTTAAATTTATTCCCTTTAACTTTCATAAACTGAGAAACCCTCATCGTATGCATTCTCCTGCTGCGCGACATCTTCGAAAACGTCCGAACCGTTAAATAATACAGAGTACAGAGAGTACATACTAGAAAATCGAACAAAAAATTCGTAGTCCTACGTCAACAATGCGGTCGTGTCTTGTACACCACCCTCCAACATTTTGTTCTTCTCTTTTCAGACAAAACAACAAATACTCTATCGCTCTTCTCTATTCTTTTATTCTCTTACTATCCACTACAAATCTGAAGTTAGTGGGACTGCCTACGGGAGCAACAGACCTACTGGTGGAAGAAAGTCGTTATGCTATACGGTCTAGCATAGGGCACGACCAAAATTTCCTTGGGAGCTTGGGCTGCCGGACGGGGTCCAGCTTCGGCAGGGCCTTGTGAGCTGGTTGTTGGTTCCTCTTCAACACTCGTTACTGTTACCGAAATCCGCAAGCATGATTCCATGTTTTCGTCGGAAAAAGAAGAACGAGAATAGAACTGCCCGCTGGCCGGATGCGAAGACTTTTTCAAAGCTCATTGCGGGCCGCACAAAATGAGGCCGCGGGCCGTACGATGGGGCAAGCCTGATCTAGATGGAATTTTCGGATGCAATCAACGAACGCCTTCGATTTCCTAGCCTTTTCACGCCTAGTAAATTTTCCAATCATAATAGGTGCTAAGTCAGCTAAACATCGTATATATTGTGAAGAGCTTATATAGTCTTACCTATTAAAATAGCTATAATAGCGTATAATAATTCAATTTTATGGGAATTTATATTCACCTTCCTACGCATTCGAATTGTTTGCAACTAGTGCCGATGCAGATTTCTAAATTATGGTGACATTTCATTTTTGTAATCGGTTAGCTATATATTGATAAACTTTCGTTACTCAAAAAACTGTAGAGATCTTTTGAATGAATTTCACCGCTAAAACCTTCACAAGATGGTCAAAATTTTAGCAACTGGAAAACATGCACCATATTCCCTCTACTGTAGCTAGCGCATAATAAGTTATATAGTTGATCCACAGTTAATAAACGGTACACCCTACAAACATACATGTTGCAATTAATCATAGAATCGGCTATAAATATGTGCCGCCAAAAGCTTAACTCTAATCCATATCGTCATCGTCATCGTCGCTGATGGTGTACTTCTTCTGCGAGCGCTTCCTGCGGCCCGGCGTGCCCTTCGGCTTCGATGCCGACATCGACGACGACGACGACGTGCCAGCCTTGGAGATTTTCAACTTCATCTTAACGCTGCCTGATTCTTCATCCGAGTTGTCATCTTCTGCAACAACAACAATGGGTAGGGGTGGTTTGTCAACAATTTGCCAAAAATTCTTTCGATCGAAAGTATAATTACCATCATCGTCGGAATCCTCCTCTTCGCCGGCCTCCAGAATCTTTTGCTTCGAGGTGGTGAAAATCTGCTGCAGTTCCAAGCTATCTTCGTAGATGAGCGAGGCTTCTTCGTTGTAGATTTGTGCATTCTGACAGAGCTGGAAGAAGTCCTTCTCCAAATCGGGGAAATCGGCGTACTTGGCTTCTTCGATTCTCGTCACGATCTTCTTGATGTCGATGGGTCGCTTGATGACTTCGTAATAATCGGGCAAATCCCTTCGCGAGGGAAGTCTCATGAACGGTTCGCTCAGGACCCGTCCATCCTGGTCAGTGTACTTGATCACCGCCTCGATGACTTTCTTCATCTGTTTCTTCACCTTCGGAGCGGTGGTTCCCTTCCTGCGTTTGGTCACCGTCGAAATGACACTTTCTTCGTCGGAATCTTCTCTGCGATTTTTCCTCTTGCGACCCTTGCGCTTTTTCTCGCGTTCTTCCTCTTCCAGTTCCTCGTCGAAATCTGCCCCATCGTCGATGGCCTTGAGCCACTCCTTCTCGGTGAGACTGTCTGTGTAGTCAACTTCCTTTCGCTGACGCGAACCACGTCCCAGAATGGAATTGTCCTCCTCGTAATCCCACCGATCGACTTCTTCCTCCTCCTTCACCAGCCAGTCGGGCAGTTCGCATTCCTCGAGCAAACGGGACTTTCCTGCCTCTTCGATTTTCCGTTCGGCGTCCATCTTCTTGAACAACTCCAACTCGTCGTCATGACGAGAAATCATCAAATTTATCATCTCATCATCCGGAACTTCGTTCTCTTCCTCCTCGTCCATTTCGTCCTGGTGGAGAATGCTCTGCAGGAACTGCTGCCGCTCGCTACCGGTGGATTTTTGATCGAACATACCAGCCTGGATAACTTTTTCGTCCATGTTCAATTTGTACCTGGGCGATAGCAAACAAAAACGAGCGATTAGAATTTGAGAAATGATACCTGGGGATATTTAACTCACCTAGCTGCAGCCAAAATTCGTTCTTCCACTGAATTAACTGTCATCAGTCGCAGCACACGGACCTCGTTCCTCTGACCTATACGATGGGCACGATCCTGCGCCTGCAAATCCTGATGTGGATTCCAATCGGAATCGAAGATGACGACCGTGTCCGCCGTCTGCAGATTCAAACCCAAACCACCGGCTCGGGTGGACAGCAAGAATACAAAGTATTCCGAATTTTTGCAGTTGAATTTCTTCAGCAAGTCACCACGTTCCTCGGCCTTGGTGGTACCATCCAACCGGAGGTACCCGAATCCACGCCAAGACAGATAGTCCTCAATGATGGTCATGCATTGGGTCATTTGACAGAAGAGCAACACCCGATGTCCGGTTGCCTTCAGCTTCGGCAGAATCCGGTCCAGTAGTTCAAACTTTCCGGACGATCGGTACAAATCCGGTCCCGAAACGGTACCATGACCGCCAATGTGATCGCAATACTTCTCCTCAATGTGTTGGAACATGAAAGGATGGTTGCACAATTTTCGCAACTGCACAATCGTGTTCATGAGGGCCTTTGCTCCTCCCTTACCCTTGTTGCCCTTCTCAGAGCCATCCGTCAGCAAAACTCCCTTGCTCTGCATGTGCTTGTAGAGCACCCGCTGCAATCCGGACATGTCGCACTTGACGATGTACTCGACCTTGTCCGGCAGCTGTGATTCGACTTCCTTCTTCAAACGACGCAGCAAGAACGGACGCAGCACCTTGTGCAGACGTCGAATAATCAGAATTGTTTCTTCCTCGTTCAGTTCGACCTTTTCACCGGTGGTGGCGAACGGGGCGTTGAACCACTGTTCGAACGTAGAGCAAGATTTGAAGATTGATGGTAGCAAAAAGTTCAGCAGGGCCCACAATTCCGGGAGCTTGTTCTGAAGTGGAGTACCGGTCAACAGCAAACGGTGCGGTGCCGTGTAGTGAGTGTTCAGGACTTGGGTCAGTTTGCAATGGTGGTTCTTCATACGGTGACCCTCGTCGATGATCATATACTTCCAGGAGATCTTGGCCAGTACGGCCTTGTCCTTGATGACGTATTCGTACGTAGTCAGCAGTACGTTGAACTTGGTCGCTTTCATCTGATTCTGAACTGCACGACGACCTGCGGGAGATCCCTTGTATGCGACCACTCCAACAGCCGGGGCCCATTTCTCAAATTCCAAGACCCAATTGGACAGGGTAGACAACGGGACAATGATCAAGTACGGACCGTTGTTTTTCTTCTTCTCCATTAGGTAGGTCACCAGACCGATGGTCTGAATCGTCTTACCCAGACCCATCTCGTCAGCCAAAATTCCGTTCAAATTGTTATTGAACAGCGAGACCAACCACTCTAGACCCTTGACCTGGTACTCCTTCAACATACCGTTGACCAAAATCGAAGCCTGCTCGGTGACCTTCTCATGTACTGTATGGGCAATGCTATAGTAAGTCTGTTCCTCCGTCTTGTACTCATCGTCCTCGACCTTGGCTTTTTGGATGACCTCCTTTGTCTTAGAATCATCCTCCATATCGTGTCCTCTCTTCCTCTTCTCATCCGAATCTTCGTCATCGTCATCATCCTCCGTGTCGGAAATGACATACTCCCATCCGGGATGGACCTGCAACCAACCGTACAAATCCCGCAAATACGGAGCATCATCCCCGGTGATTGTCTTTCCGGAAGATGTTTCCACCACCGTTACGCGGCAATCGTGCGCCTCGCAGTCCGTATCCAGATGCTGAATGTCTCCGCTTTCTAGCACCATGCGCTTCTTGCGCCGTTTGCGGTGTTCCTCGTCGTCCTTCTTCTTCTTCTGATCCACCTTGTGCTGCTTGACCATCTCCGTCAAATTGCCAATGTACTCGTCAGTCTGCGACAGCAGGAACGCCAAACGTTTATCTTTCTTTTGATCAATAAGCTTACGGTAGCCCTCTTCGTCCTCGGCCATCAGACGGCGCATACGTTCCTTCTCGATACGTTCCTGTTCCTTCTTTTGCTCCCGTTCGGCGTTGGCGTGGTAGTTCATAATGGCCTTGTTCAGGCGGCCCAGCTTGGCGACGTTGTTCCGATGGTACTCCTTGAAGTCCTTTCCGTGTTGTAGGACCAATGCCAGGAATTCCTGATGCTTCTGACGACGCTTGCGTTCGGCTTCCAATTTCTGTTGCTTCTCGAGCTTTTCGGTAGCTCTGGCTTCACGCAAGCCCTGACGCTTGGTACGCTTGTAGGCTTTGACGTTGACCGCCGTCTCCAGAGTTGTGTCCCTCCGGGTGCACTGAACTATCTCCGATCTCAGCTGACGTTGGAAGTTCAGCACTCGTAAAGCTCTGAGCTCGATTTGAGCCTGAATTCTCAGATCTTCGGGCATCGTAGCAGGAAGGTTGCTCAGTTCCTCCATCCTGAGGGAAATTCTGGCAGCCATTCTGTTCTCTCGTTCCTGGAGAATGGTGATTGGGTCCAATCCTACCGGCTTAGCTACGGTTGTAACACGATTCTGCTTCTGAATGGGTTGGACAGTGGGAGCTTGGGCTGCCGGACGGGGTCCAGCTCCGGCAGGGCCTTGCGAGCTCGGACGCTGCGGTTGGCCGGGACCCATTTGCTGTTGATGAGAAGGTTGCTGTCCTCCCATGGTCATTCCCGGCATGGGACTTTGATTTGGAGGCATTCCACCGCTGGGTGGCTTTCCCGGTTCCGGAGGACCTACCTTGCCAGGTGGAACGCCCGGAGGACCCTGTTGAGGTCCCTGAGGTGGACCTTGTTGAAGTGGTTGCTGCTGTTGCATTCCTGGTTGCGGGGATGGCCCTCCCTGAGGTCCCGGATAGGGACTAGCCGGAGGAGTCGGGCATTGCGGAGGTGTTCCGTCGGAACGCTGCGCTTGAATTTGGGATGCGAGTTGCTTACTGATGGGCTGATGACGTGCCAGCAATCTGTAGGCCATGATTTGACCACGAAGCTGGTGCAGCTGGGAGGCATTCAGATTTTGCTGCTTGGAAGTGGCACGGAGAGCCAACAGTTGAGAATAGCGTGGATCTTCCTGCAGACCCTTTTCCTCCATGGAATCGATGGCTCGCTGGAGGGCGTTTAGATTTTCCTGTCCGGGTGGAGGCGGTGGTCCTCCGGGCATCATGTTGGGGCCTCCGGGGCCACCCATACTGGGACCTGGACCGGACATGGCTTGACCGGGACCACCTGGTTGCATCGATACCGGTGGTGGGGGACCCTGTGGAAGAAAAATGAAAACGAAGAAAGTTAGTTATGCGAAATGAACGCAATCACATGTTTACAAAACAGTTTCCTTCGCTTGTCAAACAAAATTCCAATTATAGAAAACCAATTTCCGAGCAACACAAAATTCTATTTAAGCCTGGTCGTTATCAGCGGCCCAAACTTAGTAGTGTCGAAATGCAACAACAACTCCCAGTTCAGTTCATATTGGTCTTCGTTACTCAATCCGCTTTGGCCTCCGTCGGCTACATCCCAAAATTGGACAGTGGACAGTGTAAGTTGGATACTCCTATTTTTTTTCCTCAGATGAATTGTCCGCACTAATCGTAAGTTGCGTTCAGGTAACATCCTAAAAAACCCCAGCCAGTGGTACCCACGGCCGGTGGCAATCCACGTTGGACACCAATGTTACCCTTTCGTGCCGGACGATGGAACCAGCGATAGTATTTATTTCCCCGATCAGTCCGATATGTGCTGCCCGTGCAAATACGACAAACTGACGACGACTCCCGGACCCGGTTCTCTGTGGTCCGAGTCACCGATTGGAACCGAATTGACGGACCTGCCATTTTTTCCTTCCCTGATGATAACTGATCACACACCATCTGGAGGATTCTCAGAAGTGTATGAACCGTCCACACCTAGTTGGGAAGAAAGTAGCTTGCAGCCTTCTGGCGGAGCACCCGGTAGTTTTCCGGAAAGTTCCACACCTAGTTCGATGGAAGCATCAACAGAATCCCCTTGGGGACCTGGAACAAGCGCTTCGTTCACTACCGCATCAACCGCAGAGGGAGTATCGGGATTCGTGACACCCGAATCGAACATAACAGGTGTAGACACAGAATCTTCGAACTCGACACAAGAAGCATCAACAGTGTTGCCTGGTGGATCTGTGGTTCAACCAGGTGCCCCCAGCGAACAGGCACCCTCGGGATCGGTAAACGAAACGAATCCCTCTGTTGTTACTCAAATTCCACCGGAATCGCAGGCAGAAATGACAGTGCCATCCGAGTTGGCTACCGGTCCCGGAATGGGTTCACCGGGTGAGAGTCAGATGGGAAGCACGAATAAACCTGAAGAAAGTGCCGCGTTCACAACCCCATTAACCTCCGAGGGAGTATCGGGATTCGTTACTCCCGAATCAAACTTGACAAGCACTGGCATAGAATCGTCAACCCCGACACAAGTGGAAACATCGACCGTGTTACCGGGTGGAACTGGGACTCAACCAAGTGCCCCTGGAGGATTCCCGGAAAGCTCACAAGTGGAAACATCGACCGTGTTTCCCGGAGAAACTGTGACGGGTTCACCAGGTGAGGGCGGATTGGAAAGTACGGAAAATCCGACAGCAACAACCCTAGACATTGCTGAGAAGATACAGCAGCTGATTAATGATATCGAAAAGAACAAGTGCAATAAAGATGAAAAAATCTGAGTGGGAAGATAAATCGTCAGATCGGTGCTCATGATTGTTTTATTTCAATGCGCAGCAACCTTCTCGGAACTTTTTTTGGAAGGAAATTTCATGTTTCCTTCAACTATTTTTTGAAGTTTTTTTTGACTTAGGACTACGTCTTTCATTTCTATACTGGGGGTACACTTTGTGAAAACCAAAAATGGAACATGAAACAAAATTATGAAATATTTTGAATATAAATAACTCAGCTGCTCCTGGACCAATTTGAATAATTTTATCACCGATCAATCAAAAATATTTCTACGCATCTATAGCAATGCTTCCGACTGATGATTTTTTTTTTAACAAGAAGCTATTGCAAAAGGGGTAATGTCAAGCATTGTCCAATGCACAAATAAAAAGTGATAATTTTATCACTGTTAAACGTTCTTCCCAAACCCAGTCCTCATAATCGAGTACCACTTGGTTGCACATCATTCTACATAACCTGAAAAGATATAAAACAGCGCTGCTGTATGGCAACAGCTCATTTTCGCTTCAGACGGCGTTGTGGTCAGTAATAGCATCAGTAGGAAGTTGGTGGCTAGTCCACTCTTCCACACCCAACAAGCAACAAGTGACTGGTCGTGGCAAAGGAGGAAAAGGTGCCAAGCGTCATCGCAAAGTGCATCGAGATAACCACCATCCGTCGTCTGGCTTGCCGTGGCGGTGTCAACCGTATCTCCGGTCTGATCTACGAGGTGTGCTGAAAGTGTTCCTTGAAAATGAGATCCTTGATGCTGTCACCTACACTAAACACGCCAAGCGTAAGCGGCCATGGATGGTTGGTTGTCTTTATTAAGGAGATTTTTAGCCAGACGCTGGTTCATCTCAACGGCCATGGATGTCATCTACGATTTGAAGCGACAGAGACGCACTCTGTACGGTTTTGGAGGTTAATTCATCACAAACTTTGGCAACAAAACGGCCCTTTTCAGGGCCACTATGCTTATTACAGTAAAGAGTAGGAGTAGAATTCATCTGCCTGTTTGTCCATATTCAGAACCACACGCCTCCAACGACCACACAAAATGCTCATGTAACCTTACTTGGACACATGACTTTGATCGATTCTCTTCATCAACTTTTCATTTGAATCGCCACGGCTGGATATTTTCGATGGAAGAAGCAACAATCTAGCATCTAATTTGACGAAAACGGCCATTTTTGAAGCCGAGTTATTTACGAAAGAGAGTCGATGAAGAGAATTGAGCAATGTAGATAAAACATATTGAAAAGTGACGCGAGATTTGTTTTCCGTGCTGAGCACCAATGCTACCGACGCCAGGGAGGCAGCTCCTACACATGGGCCCATCAACTCAACCGGGGACCAACGGTTTTACTTCCCGAAGGAAGGCGTGATCAGAGATGTTATGCCTTAGAACATGCCGGTGGCGCCGACTGAGATTGAACCCTGGCCTGCTGGGGTGAGAGGCAATCACGCTTACCACTACACCACCGGCGCCCCTAACTTTCAAGGTGTTGCCATTGGCAAACTACGCAAAAGGAAAGGAGCCAGTGTCGCTACTTGATAGCAAACTACTCATGATGGGAGGAGTCTTTGTAGCTTTTATACCACTTGGTTGCACATCATTCTGCTTTAACCTGAAAAGATATAAAACAGCGCTGCTGTCTAGCATCAACTCATTTTCGCTTCGGACGGCGTGGTGGTCAGCAATAGCAGCAGTAGGAAGATGGTGGCTAGTCAACTCTTCTTCATCAAACGAGTAACAATTGGCAGGAGGAAAAGGTCTTGGTTAAAGAGGCACCGAGCGTCATCGCAAAGTTCTTCGAGACCACCAAGCTTCCGTTCGTGCCCCTAGGCACAGACCCTTCTACTTTTTAATTCTATCTAAGGGCTCGACTGGAGCTTCATCAAAGGTGACACACAAGGAAGAAATTTTAGTTTGTTTATTAAAATGACGTATGCCCGTGATAAAACCATCTCGGACAGTTTGGTGAGAATTGTAGATAGTGAGTTTTGTTAGTATATCAGAGCTACCGTACCACAGCTTGTAATATCATCCACTGTGGTTTGCTTGTTGATTTTACCATTATCAAATGAGATTATATTTATTGGTGAGATTTTATCTTTTGATATTTTCCCAACACTGAGCCTACCAAAGTTTCACATTGGTCAACTTTGAAGCGGTGTCACTTTGTTACATCGAATAGCACTGTAAAGTGTATTGCATTGATCTTGCCTACACTGAGGCAAATAATCTTAAGAATTTCATAAAGCTCGAGTTATGAACGACACATACGAATGTCATAAGCGTGACTTATGTATGATTTTCGACTAACATGAGGAAGTTCTTATAAGCTTTTAACGATTTCATTTTCGCAAGCGTTGAACGACGAGTTGTCAACACACGCTTCCCGTTTTTTTTTCAGTCTTTATTTTGTTCCAAATTTAAAATAAATTACATTACATCAGTGCTGAGATTTGTCATTGTCATTGACAGACTTTCGCGCGATATTGACAAAATTGTTCGTCACATAGTCACTGACAGACTTGATCCTCAAAAAAACCTTCGTCAAAATCTCATTCATTTTTTCGTCAATGACAAAGATTCACCTGGAAACAAAAAGTGTAATTTAGTACATTCTGTGTCACATTATTGTTATCCAAGTAGCTCAGGACGTAGATACTTGTTCACTAAAATGGATCCATGTAATTGTTTTGCTCAAGTCATTTAATTTTGTTACAAATTTAGCTAATAAACAAATCTGTACATGTTCGTCACTGACACCATTGTCATTGACAATTGACATGGTTTGCCTTGACTATGACTGTTAGCTAAAATGAGTGACCAAAGCAGAATTGTCAATATCACCGTGTACTGTCGAGATTTTGCAGCACTGCATTACATACAGCTACTACTTTTTCTACATACATTTGCGGACAATCGTGTTGTGAAAACAGTGAAAAAGTTATCTAATCGGTCATCTTGTAGTGTTTACTGTTGTGTTATTGTCGATATCAGACGCTCTGCAGAATCCAACTACTCCTTGCGTATTAGAGCATCTCCACCGCTGTTTCTAAATTAGATTTGGAAACTGAGTCAGCATGACTTCCTCCTGTGACCAATGCGCTAAACCAGTTGAAGGCGATGAAGAATCCGTCTCCTGCATGGCTTTTTGCGACAGGATGATTCACCTGAAATGCGGCGGTACAAAGTTGAACAAGGCTTTTCTGAACATTGTCCACACTAGCCCGAACTTATTTTGGATGTGCAACGAGTGCGCGAAGCTGATGAAATGTGCCCGGTTCAAAACTGCTGTTTCGTCGTTTGGTAGTGCGATTAATTATGTCACCGAGAAACAGGAAATTGCACACGCTGAGCTTAGGAAGGCTCAGCTGTCGAAACGAATCGCAATGACAACTCCAACACACTTGAGTTCCGGCGATCTTACTGTCCCTGAACCCACCGAGCTGTTTTGGCTGTACCTTTCTCGTATACATCCTTGCGTGAAATCGGAATCAATCGAGAAGTTGGTCAAAGGTTGTCTGCAGTGCGATGATCCGATTAGGGTTG